GATCTCAAGTATGAAATCCAGGGGGTTTAAACTCAGGGTGTGTGTGTGTTTCTGCTCCCCTACCTCCCTATACATGAGACCCTTGTCCCTGGGCCAGAACCCGGAGTAATAGGCAGGCCTGGGTTGCTCCCAAATCTCTCCATTTATGTAACATACGTAGCTGGAGTTGGCTTATCTTAAGCTTTGGGGGGAGGGAGGAGCGCTGCAGACCATCAGGCAGGCAGGTGTGGAGCCTCCTCATGCTGACTAGGGGTCTATGGGGTGGTGCGTTCATGCCCATCGCACATCCCTGCATGTGGGCCTGGGGAAACAGAGGGAATGGAGAGGAGAAAAGCCAGCTGGCAGGAAAAAGGAGCCAAAGGGGAGATGTGGAGTTAGAGCCCTGGCTACAGTGCCCTGGGCCTAAGCCCAGAACACTCTGCCATAAGGCCGGCCCTGGCAGCAGCAAGAAAAGCTAACAGGATTAGTAACCATTAGGAAAATGATAAACTATAAGACAATAAGCTCTCTAAAGCCGTGGCGTGCCTACACCTTGAGTTCTGCATGAAATTCTGGTATTCCCACTTCCAAAAAGATCCATTGGAACTGGAAAAGGAACAGAGAAGGGCAACAAAAATGATGAGGGTCTGGAACAGCTTCCATCTGAGGAGATTTTAAAAAGACTGGGGCTGTTCAGCTTGACAGATGACTAAACGAGTCTGTAAAATTTTGATGGTTTGGAAAAAGTGAACGAGGAAGTGTTATTTGCCCCTTCATGTAACTCAGAAACAAGGGAGTCAGATTCAGAATACAAAAAAGGAAGTGTTTCTTCAAACCACACATTCTCAATCCGTTGAATTCATTGCAGGGGAAGTTGTGAAGGCTAAAAATATCAGTGGGTTCACAAACGCTTTAGGTAAGTTCATGGAAGAGAGGTCCATCAATGGCTATTAGCAGGGAGGCCACTCCACGCTCCAGGTGTCCCTATCCTTCTAATTGCCAGACACCGGGAATGGATGACAAGGGATGAATCCCTGTTCTGTTCATTCACTCTGAAGCATGTAGCATTGGCTGCTCTGATGTTCTTAGGTAAGGAACACAGCCAGAACCCCTGAAAAATCTTGATGGGTGCATAGTACACAATAGCTTAATCTACGAATTGGAGAACGATGGGATTCCATCCCGGGAGAGGTGAAGGCCTAAGTTCTAACCTCTGAGGAGATGCATTCAGTGAGACCAGAAGAAGGGACCGAGGTCAGGAACAGCTTACTGCGTGTCCATGCACATGCTCCCGTTTTCCTCAATTCAACTGCAAATTCTACTTTCCTGAAGCTAAACTACTCCAAATTGCACCAAAAGGGAGTTAAGAAAGAGTTTACATATAAGAAAGAAATCCGCACCCATTCAGTGAGGCTCAGCCTCGGTTTAGATTCTTTGTAGAGCAGCTTGTTAATTGATTACAGGAATGCTTTAGGTTCAGGTCAGCCTGGCTAATATAATGTGAATTACTATGTTCGTGTCCTGGAAGCAGGGTTTGTCACCATTCCCGTGCAACCTATTACATAAATATATTGCCAGCCATATATTTTCATAAAGAATCTGGCCAATAAAGCAGGCCTGCACACAAATACTGTGGCTACTCCCCAGCCCTCAGATCTGTTCCGAGTAAAGCTGATTGACTTCAAGTGGGCTTTATGTAGAAGCAGGAATTCGCGTGCCCAGAGCAGCCTCCATGGTTAGCCGTCCCAATCACAGGCACCTTAGAAATATATAAAACTGAACACTTCAGAGCACTAAAATGTTAAAGGGAAAAGTAGGCGCACACACATAAACATCATTCAAGGATTTTGGACTACAAGAGCTTTAGGGACAGGGTAATAAAAGGGTAAATATTTTACTAAATGGTAAGAATGACCCTTACTAAATGAGAGAATTAACATGTCTATACAAATAAATAAATATCCCATGCGTTTGTGTTGGGTGTGAAATATACTCACTGATATTTCTTAGCATAAATATTTATTGAAACAATCTGAAAACATGGAGAAAAGTATATGTTTCATAAGAATGTGCCAATGTTACAGAATTGTCAGAATATTATCCTAAGTTCCTAGCAGTAACATTTAAGAGCTATAAAAAACCTCTCCTATAAAAAAATCATTAAAAGGAAAAGAGAAATTTGAAACTCATATTTCCAGAGCAAACGCAGAGATATGTTTGCTATTTAGTTATCAAGCTGTGGTAGTTTTTAAATTTTGGTCTGTTTTGGATTTCATTTTTAACACACAGTATAGATAATAAAAGATGTTAAATTCTAACAACAGATGTTTAAACCTTCCACTTTGAGTCTAAATGGTGCCTTATCTTGCAAAAACCCATAGACATTGGAAAAAAGTTACGTGCTTGGCCTCAAACTTCCAAGAGTAAAGTTATGCCTGTGTCTAAATGTTGCACATAGTATGCTTCATTAGGGCAGAACGAATGAAAAAAGTTTTCAGAATAGCCTTGTAAAATTCTCTTCATTCACTTTTTGGGGTGAGTAATTCCCCCCCCAGGTGAGTGGAATATGTGTTTTTCCCAGTGTCATATGTATCCAAGATAAATTGTGAGGGAACAGATTTTGCACGGGCGACCCATAACTTTCTCAGCAATTTTTCACCAATAATTTTTTCCTGCTGGAAAAATAGAGAAAAGAGCAGAGAAATAGAACGTAGATTCTAAGCACTGCAATTAGACACCTCAAATTCTCCTACAAAAGGGGGTTTGAAAACGAATGACTAGTTAGATTATTATTTGTTAACAGCTGAAAATAAGCTCAGTGTAGTACAAGACACGAAATGAAGAAACTCCTGCACAACCTGTGAGTTAAAATCCCCAAAATGATACACACAAGGAAGAAATTAAACAATAACAAAATATACAGGCAAATGAGCAAATGAGTTTAAAAAGGCTCACAAAATCTGCTGTAAAATTATGTTTTGAAGGAACGTAAGTGGTCCGTCTCAGTAAATCAAAACTGCTGTTGACTTTGTGGAGTGCAGAATCATGTCCCAGTGCTTAATAGTGAAAGCGATAGTACAGAAGAAAAAACAAAGTCCTTGCTGGACAATACAGAGCACAGGTTTCTTTTATCACATGACCAAATGACAAAGTTGATTGGAAAAAAAAAGAGAGGTGGAGTGTACTGGGAGAAATAAAATAAAAATAGCTGTAGAAAACATTAGGGAAAGCACTGAACTAGAATAATAATAAAATGGATGGATAAATTCCAGTCAGTACAAGTTCAAATTACCTGATAGGTCATTAAATCACATTCAATAAAAGTTAAGATAAAACTTCTGGAATGAAAACATCATTTTATAAGATCATTGTTTATTTCATGATAATAGACCAGGAGTAAAGGTAAAGTTATTGTTTCACTTATATTCAGTTTTTATGCTGGTCATTGTTCACCTAAGTAAAGAATTACTCTATTCATGGCTTTAAAAAATAATAACAAAAACTAATGTAAAAAAAAAGGAGAAAATTGGACACACTTTTGACATTTAATAGAAAAATGCCCTCTACTTGGTGTGCTATAATAAAACATGCAGAAAAATACCAAAATTATTTTTATTGGCACACAGAGAATAAACAGAAACAACATCCTCAAAAAACCAAAACAAACCTAAACCACATTTTAAAAAAAAGCAGATTATATGGTATTTAAAAGCTTAATGGAGTAAAAAAATGTATTTAAAAATAGGAAGCAAATTATTAAACGACTGGCTCCAGTAATCATTCAGAGAATAATTTCAGACATAGTGCAGAAATGTAGTCTGGCACTTGCTTATTGTATTTTTAATATTAATTATGTTATAAAAGTAATGAAAAATGTAACACATTTTGGTTTTTGAAAAGCAGATCAAAGCTTCTTGGGGAAATTGGGGAAATGAGAGAGCTGGATGATTAAAGAGAAAGCCCCAACAAAACTTGGAAAACCTAAGCAGACCGTGTAACAGGAATCAAAAAAGGCTAAATTATGGGGGATATTGAAAACACATTTAAGACTGAATGCATGAAACAATAGCAAATAATAGGCAAAATTTGGTAAATAAAAGAGAGGGAGATTTTTAATTTCATGGCTTCTTAGCCCATCCAGAGAATTCTTTGCGAGTGGCTAGAAGAGAAAATCAGAGAATCATTCCCAGTGCCCAGAACAAAAATGCAAACATTTGCTAAAAGTCCAAGTGCAAAGACAAGTTAAACACCCACTAGAAGAGGCTAATTATTTTGTATCCTACCTAAGGAGCAAGTGGTCGTTCTATTAATCGGATCTAACGCAAATCAAAGCAGCTTGTCTCCTTTATCCCGCTGGGCTGCACAGAAGTATGGACAAATCTCTTGGAATTTTTAATACTCCCCTTTGAGCAGCCTCCCTTCAAGTATCACCTCCTCACAGAAAGCCACGCAGAAGCATTTACTGTGTTGTAACTGACACAATAATTATTCCTGGGGCAGACAGGCATTTCTTTTTGTGCAGGTGGCTATTTTTTTCCTGTTTGCCCTGAATATATTTTATAGAAAGGATTCTTTCCCCCATCTGCAAAGGGAAGTATACTCTAAGGGGCTGATCCTGACCTTGAGTCTAGGAAATAGCCCGTTGACTTCAATGGGAACAGGTTTGGCTGCCGCCTGTACTAACCATGCAAAAATAATTACATAGCAGAGAAATAATTAAAAAGGCCTGTTGGTAAACTGCTAAATCCTACAGTCCTTACTTATATCCAGTCCTGAAAAGCTTGAATGCATTGACCTTAAATAGGCCGCATGAATATAAAAAAGATGGGAACCCCAGTCATTACTGACTTCAGTGGGGGTGTTTTGCCTGGCTAAACGTAGGCAGGCGAAAGCCAGTAATGAGCTAACATTGCCAAAAACATGAGTCCAAGGGGGGAAAAAAGTTTTAAGAAGGCTGTTTGGTAAATTCACAGAAATAGGTTGTGTGTGCCCAAGACTGACAAGCCACAGTGAGGACTTACATGTGACGCAGGATTTGAAAGTCTGTTTTACGATGATCTGTGATCAGTCTGAGCATTCTCTGATTAACTTCCAGATTCCAGCTGTAAATTTCACAAATGCATCATTACTTCCTGTGTGCTGGCGAAGGGCCATCGCGTGCCATCAATCTTTTGTACCCGACTGGGTCATTGTATGCATCTAGCAGGATGGCAGAGGTGAGCCTTAATGGCCATGACCCTGATGGAACTACTTGTGGGTGTAAGTGTTTGTAGGATTAGGGACAGAGTTTGATTCTGTGTTCCTAGAAATCAATGGCAAAGTTCCCACCGACGTCAGTGGCTGAAGGATCAAAGCTCTAATTTCACAGCCTAACCAGTACGATGTTCATATAACCCCCCTCTAGAGAGAATTCTAGAAACCATTGTACGATATTGAAATAGAATTGTTCCCAGCTTCTTCTTCCTCTGCAACTCAGCGGTGATGCATAAAGTTTGCCTTCCAGTTTCTCCGTTAGGATCTTGTAACTTGTTCATAATCACATAATTTTGGGGAAAAAAGTGAAGCCTAGTGAGATTTTTTTTGTAAAATTAGGATGGTGAGACCTGGAAGGACATGAGTCAAAAAAGGAAGAATGATGGCTTGAGCTGGGAATGTGTGTTTACAAGATTTCAAGGAACTGCAAAAGAACAGGGGGTGGGGAAGGCTTAGTTTGGAGTTGGACCAAAAGACAATGCAAGTCCTCCACAGTGAGAATCTTTGCAAAGAGCAAAGTTTGGAAAAAAGTAAATTTTCTCTCTCTCTCCTTTCTCCCCCCAACAAATACTTTAAGAAAGAAAATGCATATTGCAAAATGACTTTGGAAGTCTGAATATCAATGAAATTATGTGCCTGGCTGGCAGTGATGTCACTTCCCGTGAGAGATACTCAGGAAAGGGTCTGGCTTCTTTTACTTCAAGATTTTTTTATTTACAGATTCCATTTCATGCCTGACTGTGCCTTTCTAGCAGATTTTTTTTATTATAGCCGTTCAGTTTGCTTTGGTTTCAAATACGGGGCTCCTGTAATCTTCCTACTTACCTGTCTCCACTGATTTACTAATACACTTACATTAGCAGCAGCACTGCCAGGAGCAGGCAGTACAGAATTTGAGCCCAAAGTGTCCGAATGGTAAAAAATGGGTGCAAAATTGGAGTGGAAAGTAATTTCAAAATATAAATTTTTTCCATGATAAACAAATTCCATTTTTCCATGAAAGGAAAATTCTATTTTCTGAACTGCTCTGCTGATGGATCGCTGCTACGCTCAGCTCATATCTGCACCCTGGAAGCACCGTCTGAGAATCCTGTGTGCCAGAACTAAAAGCCGGACATCGTACACTCGTGCTTTGTATTAACGATAGTACCATTCTAGCTCTGATTCTGTTTTTTAATCTAATTTTGCTCTACTGCAAACATCAGCATGATGGCGAAATGCCTAAAATTATAGGCCCTTGGAATTTTGGAAGCCTTTGGATTCTAACGCATAAATCCAAGTGCACCTCTGGTTTTGGGTATAAGTTGAATTCAACACTAGAAGGGAACAATTAATATTTCTATTTTTATTACAGTAGAACTAAGAAACCATAGCTGAAATTGAAGTCCCATTGTGATAGGATTTACACAATAGCAAGAAATGGCCCCTGTCCGAAAAAGCGTACATCCCAAATTTACAAAAGCAGAGAAAGGAGGGATTATCATCACAGGTTTACAGGTGGGGAATGCCACAGACTTGCATAAGGTCACACATGAAGTCGGTGTTTTCAAGGACTCCTGAATTCTGGTCTAATGCCTTCACCATACGTGTTCTTGTTTCCAGATAACATACAGCTGGAATCTCACTATATAAGAGTTCTCATGAGACAGTTCAGTTTATCAAATCAACTTGTAAGATTTTATTACCTCCCTACCCAAACGATGAAACTGAGCTTTGATTGAAATTCAAACACAGGCCTTATGCCCCAGCATTATCCTGACCCAATTTCAAATACCACCTGCTTGGTTCAGAACTAGATACCGATCCCGGTGAATCAATTCTGCCTCTGCAGAGAATGAGTGGTCAGCTTACAAATGTCCTCACATCAGATATTATCATTTAAAATCAATTATCAATCTCCCTTTCCTTCATTTAATGAGGCTTCTGCATAAATACTTTTCAAATAAGTTGTCTATATATTTACCAGAATTTGTACTTTGTGAGCCAGATTTTCAAACAGTTATAGGCACAACCGGATATATGAGTTGTGAGAATGCACAAAATTTGCATGTGGAATCACTACATCTGCACATAAAAATTACCAGATCGTTTTGCAAATGCAGCCACTTACCCAGTTTCTACGGGCGGTTAGTTGGTGTTTAACAAATTATGTGCACAAATTATGGATGCATTTGCAACACTAAATTGCTTGAAATGTTAGGCCTGCAGGCCACATTGTTTACTTTCTGAAAAGAATGAAAAAATATTGAAGTATTTTTTTCAGTACCTTAAATAAACTAAGGAAAATAAATACAAGAATGAAACAAAAGCAAATACGGAAAAATGCAAGATTTCATTTTCAAAAGACCCCTCTGCCATGAAGTAAAATGTTCATTAGAAATGCACTGAATTAGGGCTAACAATGTCAAAGAGTAAAATTTCCAAAAGTATCTAATTGCCCAAGTGGCATTTAAAAAATGACTTTGGCACGAGGTGCCAAAATCACTTAGATGCTTTGAAAATGATCCCCAGAATTTCCTAAGAATGAGGTTGAAATTAGGACATCTTTTATCATAATTAGACTGTTATTTAGACTAACAGCTAAAATACAACCAGTTGTTCAGGTTCATCTGTAAGTTCTTGATCCTGCACCTATTTAAATCAAGTAAAACTCCCATTGCCTTTAATGATGTGAAATTAGGGCTTTGTTGTTTTATGATGCCAAAGTGGCTGAAAATACCTCTGTATCTGGTCACTACCCAGAGCAATAAAGAAAATCTTTGTATTCTCACTAGATTAGTGATTAAGATGAACAACAGAACTTCAGCCAGGGAGGAGTTAAATGCTGATAAGCCACACTTTTTTTAGTGATGTGGCGGGGGGGAACCCCCCAGGACTTGCTCTGACCTGCGCTACTGCATGAAGTCTTGAGTGTTTCTAAGAGGTGATTCACATTGGCTGAAACCCAGGATCAAAAGCACAGAATGTGACTCCCGGATCCCCTCGGACTGTGAATCTATTCCCGTTCTGGCAGGTTGTTGATATTTAGGGCAACCTTGCTGCCATAAATGACCGTATGTTCAGCATGCCTATGCCGGGCTGAGGAAGAACATTTCTTCTGTCACTCACAGTAGCTGAAGTGCAACTGATCTGCAACATACCCCTAGAATCCCGGGATTGGAAGAGACCTCGGAAGGTCCTGGAGTCCAGCCCCCTGCAGGGTAGGTGCAGAGTAGTGGCTGTGAGTAGCAACTCCCTTCCATCAGTGGGACAACAGATCTATGCAATTCACTGATCTCCTGGCTATGTCGCTAGCTCACTCCTCTCATACCTCTCTCTGTGTGAAGTGCCTCCGGACTATGCAGGAGCCCATGGACTCTCCCAGTGTGTCCCTTGCATCCTCCTCCTTTCACAGAATCGCAGGGCTATCCTGACATCACGATTCTGTCACCCAACGCAATATTTTATCAGGGGCCAGCTCTGGCAAAACACCTCTTGAAGCCGAGGTAAAGTTTCTGCAGTGCGTATTTTGTCTGTACTTCATTCTCTCTCTCTCCATCCCTTTCTTTACCCTTCCTCTCTTTTCCAGACTTATTTCCTGTCTCACCTTCCCGCCAGTCCTTGCTTTTGTCTCTCATCTCTTCTCCCTCAGTCCTTCTCTCACTTCTCTCGGCTGCACCAGAGCCATTGCAGGGAGATTTAAATTGCGCTGCCCTGGCTATGTATCGTATATACTGTACCCCTCGACACTGGCAGTGTTGTTCATTCACTGAGTCAGCACATCACCTGGCTGCCATAGCCACATTCCCTTTCTTGCCAGGCCTTCTGAATTTTAAAACTTGAACATAAAAGTGACTGTACTGGGCCAGACCAATGGTCCATATAGCCCAGTGTCCTGTCTGCCCACAGTGGCTGTACTGCAGTAATGACCCTAACAGTTAGGAAGTATTTCTTAATGTCCAGCCTAAACTTTCCTTGCTGCTGCTTAAGCCCATTGCTTCTTGTTGTATCACCAGAGGCCAAGGAAACAATTTTTCCCCCTGCTCCCTGTGACACCCTTTTAGATACCTGAAAACCACTATCATGTCTCCTCTCAGTCTTCTCTTTTCCAAACTAAACAAGCCCAATTCCTTCAGTTTTCCCTCCTAGCTCATGTTCTCTAGACCAGTGTTTCTCAACCAGTGGTATGAGTTCTCTTAGGGGTAGTCAAGAGAAGTCTGGGGGGGTTACTTCAACAAAACTGCAATTTGGAGAAAACTGTATTTTTGTTGTAAGTTTTATAACACTATTATTTTTGTACTTTTTATAACAAAACATTTCATTACCTGCCCAGCTACAATTAAGTTGTTGCAATGGTAGAAAAAAATTGTGTGTGTCTGAAAACTGAAGGTACTAGGGGTACTTCTAATTTTATTTTTTTAAAAGGGATACTTTATTAAAAAAAAAGTTAAGAAACACTGCTCTAGACCTTTAATCATTTTTGTTGCTCTTCTCTGGATCCTCTCCAGTTTCTCCACATCTTTCTTGAAATGTGGTACCTAGAACTAGACACAATACTCCAACTGAGGCCTAATCAGCACAGAGTAGAGCAGAAGAATGACTTCTCGTGTCTTGCTCACAACACTCCTGTTCATGCATCCCAGAATCATATTTGCTTTTCTTGCAACAGTGTCACACTGTTGACTCTTATTTAGCTTGTGGTCCACTCTAACCCCTAGTTCCCTTTCTGCAGTGCTCCTTCTTCGACAGTTACTGCCATTCTGTACGTGTGAAAAAGATACACTATTCTCTCCAGGTACACTTGGTGGCAGGAGTTTCTTCTCCCCATAAATAAAGAGGGTGGAATATTTGGAAGCTCACACAGCTGTGA